CGTTTCCTTTTGGTTGGTTTTCGTCTTCCTTTTTTCCTAGCCCCCCTTTTTCTTCGTTTTTTTTCTTCCCCTTTGCGGGGCGGAGGGAAGGAGGGAAAGGGGCGTGGGAACTGTCGTTGCCTCTTCTCCACCTTCTTTGTTTCGTTGCGTTCTTTGCAACCTTGTGCGTTGTTTCCTCCAACTTCTGCCGTGGCCCCTTTCAGCGGGACATTTCAAAGGCCCCTCAAGCGAAGTTCGGACTCATGGCGCGGAAGCGGGCAAACATTCCAGCCGTGGATTTAACTCTCATGTACGCCACGGCTGATCACGTGCCGTGACCGCATTTCTTCAGGGAGGCTCCACGGAAACGCCTTGCGTGTTACGACTGGGCCGACACGGTTTTGCCCGTTCGCCTCTGTGTGTGTCTGCCCTCGCACCCACAGCAGCCAGAGCGGCCTTGCGGCTGCGGCGAATGTTGGGGAGAGGGCGCTCCTGCCCACGCACCCGGTGTTTCCCCAAGGCAATTCGTGCACCTGCCAGATCCACCTCTGGCTTTCCGGTGGTGCCCGGGCCCACCCTGGCGATGCCGGCCACCTCACCGTGGTGCCAGGGTCCAGTGCCCCGTCCAGGGGGGAGCCAAGAGCCCGCATTATACTCAGTCGCTGTGGACTGGGGCGGGCGGCAGGCTGTCGACAACCAGAGAGAGAGAGAGCAAGCAGCATATCCCCGGCGCTCTGGGGTGAATGAAAGTGGAGGAACGCTCTCCTGCACGTGCAAACGTGCTCTCTTCATAGTAGTTGGCGTCTCCTCTTGCTCACAATTTTTAGAGCAAGAACGTAGGCGGGGGGCACTGATGGTAGAGCACGTGCAGAATAAACGCACACTGACAACAACCGCAAAAAGTGCCCGCATCTTTGACGTGGGCCCGATTTCTTCCAAGAGTCGCTTCAGTGCGGCCTCCAGCACGCTGCTGCACACCAAAGACAAGCTGTTTTTGCTCTACGAACGGAAAGAGGTCGACAAGCAACGCTTTGTGCTTGTGCGGCTGGACGACCAGCTGGAGCGCATAAAGGAGGTGCCGGCGCAGTGGGAAGGGCTGGACAATAACTCCTCCAATTCCTGCAGGTCCTTGGGTGCGGCTGGCGCGTGTGACGGCTCCGCCCGCAGGATCGTTTTTTTTGTCCAATGCAGGCCCCGCCACCCACTGGAACGACGAGTACCTCGGCGTGGACGCAGCGGTGAGTGGCGCGACGAAGGCCGCGGACGGCTTTGAGTTCAGCGTGGCCAATTCACGCGCCGAGTGGCCCGTGGGCGCGCAGGGGCAGAACCAGAGGCACCACTTCGCAAACTGCAACTTCACTTTGCTGGCGGCAGTGAGTGTCAATGACCCGAAAGACGGCGCCTCTGTGTTTGGTGTGAAGTTCAACGGCACCTACAGTGCGGGCAACCGCCTTGGATTGTGCTGTGCAGCGGCGAGAACAAGTGGGTGGTGAGGAGCCGGACTGGGGAGACGGTGGCGCATGGCGCCAGGTGTGAGCCCGAAGGAAACAGCACTACTGCGTGCTTCTCAGACTCGAGTACGGCAGCGTTTTACTTATTCGTCAATGACGAGGCACTGAAGGTTGCGGATGCGGATGCCGCGGCGCTGGCGAAGAAGGACAGCGAGGAGATCGCGCACTTCTACTTTGGGGCGGACGACGGCATGCGTGGCGCTGGCGGCAGCGTGACCGTGACGAATGTCTTCCGGATGAGCCGCCCAGAGCGGAGCATTGGATCCGACACACCCAACCACGGTGCCGGGTCAGGCGCCAATAAGCTGGACAGCTCCGTACGTGCGCATGGGTCTCGCGTGCTCTTGCTGCTTCTGGGGCTGTGGGGCCTTGCGGCTTTTTTACTGAGCCAAATAAAGCGCTGCCCAGGCTTCTAGTGGGAAGGTGAGCGGCCAGTTCACGCACGCGAAAATAATATGTGCTTTCTTCGTTGGGGTTTTGATGCATTCATGTATTGTTTCCATTTCTTTTCTTTCTGTGTGTGGCATATGTGGGGGCTGTCCGCTTGTTCATTGTGCACCTCCGCTGCAGCCGTTTTCTTCATCAGGTACTGCAGGAGCGAGCTCTTGCGTGTGGTATTCCTCTGCCTCTGGAGTTCGAGAATGGTGAGTGAGGCAGTCGTGGCTGTGAGGACGGGCCGTTGGGCGTAGGTGTGTTGCAAAGAACTGGGAGTATGTTTGCACTGTGTG